CCAGTGCCCTGTTGTTTACACATCCCCTTAATCAGAGTGTTCAGCAGTTCTCCATGTGCCCAACAGTACACTCAATCCCTTTCAGAATTTCATAAAAGGAGCTCCCAGATCCCGCCCCCCCCCTCACGAATGAGTAAGGGGTAGTTGTTAACCCTACTCATTCACCAAATAACAGTAAAACAGTAAATCAAATCACAACATTATACTACAAAGACCTTTATTTGAAAAAAACCACAACACAAAGTTTTTGACAAGTTCTTTATTTAAAAAAAAGTCCATCAATGTAATCCACGGGTCAATCACGTTGTCCAGCAATGTAGATCCTTGTCAACCACGATGGACGATGGCAGCCGGCTCACCGATATATTCCCTGTTCCTCTTATTTGTTTACATTCCATTGGTGAACCGAGAGCTGTCACAGAATGTAAACAAATAGGTGGAACACGTTCCGTGAAGTCATGACTCGCTCTGCCCTGTTGACTGTCGGGAGAAGACCTGTCATTTGTGGCCAGTGTTTCTCGGACGTAGTGGTGGGCGGCAAGTTGCCATCGTCCATTGTGATTGACAAGGATCTACATCACTGGACGACGTAATTGGCCTGTGGATTACATCGATGGGCATTTTTCTTAATGAAAGAGGGCACCCAGATTCAGATAAGCCCCCCCATGCCCCCAACTGGGCTATGGTTGTGGTGAAGAGGCCCTGGTCCTCATCAACATGGGGACAAGGTGCTTTTCCAGAGGGTCGCAGGGGCATTTGGCTTGGTATGGTGCAGGGGGGGGCACAATCGTCTTCCACTCTTTCCTGGCTGCTGCTTGGATCAAGTGTCTGGTAAGGGATTTTTTTTGGGGGGCACACTTTTTTTTGGGGGGGGGGCAGCGTTGGGTTCCCCCTTGAAATTTATAAAGGGTCTGGTATGAATTGTGGGGGTAGGGAGAGGGGACCGCACACTGTTTTTTTATTGTTCCTATGGACTGTCAAAAGTAATACAAAAGCAAACATTTTATGTCACTTTTCTATTTTTCTGCAACGGATGTTTGTTCATAATTATCGTTTAACTCGTCCGAGATTATAAATGAAAATTCAGATTCGCCAAAATCTGAATAACTGACTTTTGGACCCGAATCCTGAAAAACGAAATAACGAAAAATCCGAAACAGCGATGACACACAATGCTCCCGAGATGGTGTCCACCAGACCTCTTTAGCAGTCCTGCCCATGGTGTCCACACAAACTCCAGCCACTCCAGCAATTTTGTGTGATATTACCTACTCCATGATTGTGACACAGTCTCCACTGCATCAGCTTCTACATTCAGATGGCTACAATGGTTACCTTAGTTAGGATTAGATTTGGTCAAACACACACTGCCCCAGCCGCTCCAGCCTTCCCACATGGCAGCACTTACTCCAAACCTGGTACAGAGTTTTCACTGCTTCAGCTTCCACTTCTAGAAGGTTACAATGGTTTCCTTTGGTTGGGGTTAGATTTGGTTGGTGACTCACTTATACTTTTATATCATGAAGGCTATACTATTGTAGCGCCCCTGTCACTAAGGCCTGGTTCACACCTGGGTGTTTTACAGCGCATTCCTACGCTCTGTAAAACGCTCAACATGTGAAAACCAATGATTGCCTATGGGCATGGTTCCCACCTGGGCGTTTTACAGCGCATAGGAACGCGCTGCAAAACGCCCTACGCCCAAAGAAGTACAGGAGCTTCTTTGGGGCATATTTGCCGTGCGTATCCATTGGGATACAGCCAGGTAGCCCTCGGAAACGCGCGTTTTTTACAGCGAATCGTGGTAAAAACGCGTGCCTTATAGTTATGTCGCTACTATTTAGTGTGTTTATTTCTGGACTGTAGTCAGTCTGGAGGTTGATTATTCTGTGTTCTGCAGGTTTTCCCTAAACCTGGTAGATTGCCTGCTTCTCCCTCTTCTTCCTGTTGCATGGATGGGCTCCAGTGTACAATGTGGGAGGATGAATTACCAGATTATAAATATGACGCTGACCAATCCTTGAGCAGGCTGGGTATGGCTGGGGAGGAGGCCTGTGTGTTGCAAGATGTCTGGCCTGGGCCTCGGCATGCAGCAGCTACGGGGGGCTTAGAGGTCTAAGATGCTACTGGAAAGAAACCTAAACGAAACTGGGCTGGAGGAAGGATCTGCTTACTAAGGAGTGTCGCAGAGGAGCTGGTGAGAACTGCCATCTGGACCCTCTAAGAGATTCCTGCGCTAAGTTCAGGTACTATACAGAAGAGAAGAAACCAGTGGGTACACCACAAGTAATGTGACTGCTCTCTCAGAGTCATAGACTGTTACTGGCTGCTCTCTGTTGTAAGAAACTATTTTTTGCTGCTATTGAAAATGCTGTCCTTCATTTTTTTTCTTTGAGTATCCTGCAACCCTAACCCTCTCTCCTAAGTTTATTACTGAGCAATAAATACTAAAAAGACCCTACTACTTGAGCCTGTTCTATTTTAGAAGTGTTGGTGTTGCTGGAGCTGAAGAAAACAGGGCTGGTAACTGCTAAACAGGTAGGGGGACCCAAAATTACCAACGGCTCCTTCGGAGGTCATCGCTACACCGTTATTTTTTTATTTCCTCTTTATTTGTATTATTGAGTTACTTTCTTTTTGTCCGCATATATTTTTGTGGTATACATCTGTAACATTTTTAGGTACTGTGTTACAGCACAGTACTGTGCATATTTTGTAACTTGTATATTAAAGGACAGTTATCATAAAAATGTCTTTGTTTTCTGTTTGTAAGCTATAAAAGATGACTGTGTTATTTGCAAATGGTCCAATCAATGTCCACAACCCACGGAACATCTGTATTTATTTCCTGTATGTATTGCTTTTTATCCATGGACTAGATGTATGAAACCTAGAGAGGGTTGCTCCTATACATAGAAGGTATAAGCATGTCTCACCAGTGCAAATCCCCAAAATATGTTTATTCCTCATTTTAGGATAGTTGGTGGAATAATACAAATCTTCACCATTATACCCAAACTATACAACCAATCCATTATAGAGACATTTATTCCAAACTTCTTACAGCCTTAAAAGAGAACTATGGGGTAAGTGTTTTCCCCATAGTTCTCTTAAGGGTCACGGGAGGACATATGCTAACCTTCTCCCGTGACTCAAAGCTAAGTATATCGAGAGCTACAGCTCGCGGTATACCGAGAACGAAACAGCCAGGACGGATCCCAACAATGCTGTCAAGATCCACCCAGCTGCGTGAATGACAGCTGGCTCTGTCTAACTACAGGTGAAACTCGAATAATTAGAATATTGTGCAAAGTTCATTTATTTCACTAATGCAACTTAAAAGGTGAAACTAATATATGAGATAGACTCATTACATGCAAAGCAAGATAATTCAAGCCGTGATTTGTCATAATTGTGAGGATTATGGCTTACAGCTCATGAAAACCCCAAGAACCCCAAATCCACAACCTCAAAAAAGTAGATTATTACATGCAATCAATAAAACAAGGATTGTACATAGAACAATATCGGACCCCTGAAAAGTACAAGCATGCATATGTACTCAGTACTTGGTTTGGGCCCCTTTTGCATCACTTACTGCAATTACTTTTGCACGATATTCTAATTATTCGAGTTTCACCTGTAGAGGCAGAGCCAGCTGTACCCGCCCCCTCCCCCGTCCGTTCCACCAGTCAGCACTGGAGGATCGGAGAGGGGAGGGGTGAAATCCCTGTGGGGAGGAGTGACCGACAGTGAGATGATCGAGAAGTGAGCGAGCGATGGTATGCTTTCGCTCACTTCCCTCTATTGAGCCGACGTGTGACAGTTTAATTTTCACTCACCTCATAGTTCTCCTTTAATCTTAAATCCAAAACAAAAACTTGTTTATGGTAAACATGTAGATGCAGGCTGAGTGCAAAGGAGCAGTCACTGGCATTGGCTGTGGTCTCCCTGCCGTTGGAAAAATTCTCCAATTCAGCTCACTTTTCAGTTCAGCTATGTTGTCCTAGAATGGTCACTTCTCCTGCCATCTCCAAACTCTTCACCCCTCTGTGAATAACCCTGTAAATATTTGTGTGCTCTGTTCCATTGGCCCCTTGCTGATCTCAAGGAGCCATTCTACCTAGGACATTGTACTCAACTTAGTTTACTGGGTGTGAATTCATCTACTGTATCTATTTACATAGGTGTGCTCTGGCAGTAGAAGCTGGAACCTTAAGCTGTGTTGATGTTACTGATCCAGAGTCCATAAATGTCACTAAAATAGTACATGTTTGTTTTAAACCATCCACTACCTGGGTAAACGTGCAGCGGCAAGAATGCAAGTTCGGCATTTTATGGAAAGCAACAAACATATTATACGGCACTGAGCTGAACACATACCAGCTGTATAATAATCTGGATAGTGTTTAAACAGCCAGATTCTAGTTCAGCAAAGATGTAATAGACTGCCTATAAAAATATGCTTGTTGTTGCTGTGGAAATCTGTGTTTTTACCAATTCAAAATTACCTAGCAATGACTGCTGTGACAACTCTGTACCAGAGATGTGCGGTCAGGGGAGGCAGGGGAGGCAGAGTCTCACCTAGAATTATGGAGAAAAAAGCTGTCAGCTTTTTCTTCATTAAGATCGGCATCTAACAGGTTACACAGCAGGGAAATCCTCCCCGCTCTGTAACTTGTCATGGACGGAGCGCCTCAGCAGTCAGGAGCAAGTGAGGGACAGGGAGGCTCCTCCCTGTCTCCTCCCTTCCTGCTTTACACTAGCTTGGGGGCGGGGCTTTGGCAGTCGGGGACGGGACGTGCTGGGGGCAAGGCTGGGGAATGCCTCACCCGGAACAAGAGGTACCGCACGTCACTCCTCTGTACTGGTGGGTTTGGTGAAATTGATGGGTACATGCACCCATATAAACAAAGCACTCTTTCCAAAGAAAAGAAAAATGAACACAACAAACATCCATTCCATATCAAATAACACATCAACAAACCAGACCCAGATTAATTTTGTACGTCATTTTTTTATTATGTGTCTCTTTACTCAACAGCCATATAAAAAAGTTTACAGAGGTGGATAATGTCTGTCATCTGTATCTTAGTTATCGTGGCTAAAGCTGCTGAATAATAATGAAATATGCCACCTCAGGTAAGGTGAATGCCAACAATAATTTTGAACAGAAGACAAACATGTTTCTGTTGTTGTGAAACTTTTTTATTACCATTTATTGCAAATCAATACCTCTTTGGCATAGGTTTAAAGTGGAAACATGTTAGCATTTAGCACCATGATGTTTTATCTTTAAACTTCCCTTCTACTTTAGTGGTCTTGGCCAGCAATAACAGGAAAGTATGGAAAGCACCTTGTAAGCCTGTGATCAATCTGTTCTGGACAATGCAGTCTATAAAAAACAGTATTAGTGGACTACCTCCAGGAATCAGACCCTAGTTGTAATTCTTTGATTCAAGGCTATACTTTGTATCCCATTAGTTTTTTGTTTTTGCCTCATCAAAGCCTACCCATCCTCTGTCCATGATGAGGTAGTTGAAACATGGAAGTTCTTTATGCATGCTGTGAACTTCATCTTGGTTAGAAAGATGGGTGGAGTTTGATGCATAGCTTAATCAGTGCTTTTTAAATTGGCCACAATTTAAAAAAATACATCACACAGTGTTTTCAGTAATGATTTTAACCTTTCTTTTTTTATAGCACCATTCAGATGTTTTCAAAATATGAAATTTGTACAAAAAATAGAGCAAAAGCATTTAGTTTGTGTTATTGCAAAAAAAAAAAAAAAAAATTGCCCTCTCTACCAAACTATCCCTTTTTCCTTAACGGTTGGAAAATAAATTATTGGAACACAGTTTCTTTGGTGACAACATTTTAAAGGGACACTAATGGGGTGAAGATCATTTGATGTGGTTTAAATTTCAGATATATCCTAAATTACAAAAAGCATACAGGGCCAACTTCAATTCCGAATTCTTGGTTTGCTCCGCCGATATCCATTGGTGCAATATCTACAATAGGTAACCTCATTGTCTTGCGTGTTCTGTATTCAAATACTGTTCGGCCCCATTCTCCTGTGTGTTTCTGTCAAAAAAAAACAGTAGGAAAAGGTCACTAGATCAATATTTCTAAGATAAAAGTATTATATTGGTACATAGCAGGTGATGAAAAGCTAATAAAGAGGCCCAACTACCACATCAAATCTCCCCACTACAGGCTCCAAGAAACACTAAATGCTGGTAGGTGATTTAATTCCCTATTTGCAAGAAAAAAAATAGTCCATTCACTATTTTTGGGAAGAGGTACAGACACAAACTACTAAAGGGACCACTAAAATTCCTGAGAGAGGTAAATAGCAGGCTGGTGATTTAAAGGTACCAGATGATCTATGACACTTCTGTGTTTATATACATTTGTCCTTTCCTTTCTGTCTCTTGCTTTCTGTTCTCCTTTGCCACGCTCAACAAATGCTTCCAATCCTCTCCTAATCCATCATGTAAGTTTATTTTTGTAAAGTACAACTCTATAAACATTTTAGAAATATGAAGTAGCAAGGAATATATTACATATTAGACTATATATACATATTAAAAAAAAACTTACAGTGCAACCATCTTCCAAAACACTGTATGTAAATTTGCTGTTTCCTTCGGCTTTAAGCTCGCTTTCGGTAGAACTCATGAATTTCACAGCCTTCTTAACATTTCCATTTTGTGCATCCATGTATGCAATGCTGTTCTTGCAGTGGTAAGTGATATTCTGGTAGCCTCTGCTGGACAGAATTCTAAGGAATGCCATCTGGACATCAGATATATCCTCTGGAAGCTCTGGGTCTCCATAGCTGAACTACAAAAAAACAAAATACCAATTGTTAAACTACTACTCTAAGAAATGCATTTCAATATCTATATGTGTTGCTGTTGGAGAGTTCCCCATTCAGGACAGGAAGTGAGGGGAAAACTATCTAGCCCTGAAAAGCAGTTAAGACCCGACAGTCGAATCCTTCCTCACTCTATTAAAAACTAAAACCTTGACACACAATTTAAAGTGAAATTATGGCAAATGAAGTGAGGAAAACAATCTATTTTTGCCTTACCTGGAAACCACCATTCATAGATTCTCCAAACCAAACATGTTTTTTATCGGTTCCAGAGCTGGTGTACCAGTTCTTTTGTGGGGCAATTCTTGGATTGGCATTCATACAAGTTTCACCCGTTTCCATGTTGCAGAAAACCTTAATAGCATCCATTCTACAGCCTTGGTTGGGGTCGATCCAGTATTCTCCTACGAAAAGCCAAAGTATTATAAAGTATTCGAAAATATATTTATAGTGTCCACTGTTTTAAAGCTGTATTTGTTATTGGTTAAAGTCTTAAATGAATCTAAGCTATAAATGTGAATTTAGAATAAGTGACACATTGTATAAATGAAACCCATGTCACATTATTGCTCCATTTGCATATGATCTGAAATTCTGTCAAGAGGATTATGTACCTGGACCCATATTTGTGAAAAAATTAAAACCCAACACAAGTTTGGCCTCATGTACATGGGCGTACAATTTGCTGCATACTGTAATTGATACTGATCTGATCACAGAATTTTGTATGCTTTGGGCCCATGCACGCTACTCCATTTTGGTCTACAGAGTTTAGCTGCGTAAACTTAAACTAGAAAAATCTGCATTCACGGTATCCTGAATATGGACCATATTGAATTTACATGTCAGCCCTGACCAGCAGCTATGCCCAGTGGAACACATGTTTACATACATACAACATTTGTGCCTATATGGATCACACTGGGCATAGCTGCTGGTCAGGGCTGACAAGTAAATATTAACAATGTCTAGCCAGCATCCCACTGATTATACACTATTGATGTTTACATCTCCCCCTAAAGGAGTCATCTATGCATAGAATGACCACAGCCTTTAGTCATTCATAATTGTCTGAGGTCATTCTGTGCATGCACTGCTGCCATACAATTAGTTCATTCAGAGCTACCATGTATACACCATGTATTAAGTCATGTAAACATTAGCACAAACATTACAAGTTTACACTATATGGATAACTTTTCATGCATGATTTTGTTGCCAGCAAGATCCTGCGTAAAAACAGTACGGCTGTGTGCATGAGCCTGAAATTTACTTCTAGATGACATTTTTGGACATTGTAGTGGACATTGGTCTGAGAAAAATTGTGGTGTGGTATCACTTATACACCTTTATTCTTACATCTGGTAGAAACTACAGGATTGACTGGTGTAAACCCACTACTTATTTAAACTTACATTTCTATATTGTAAAAGAAAAACAGCACAGAACTGCCTGTGTCGACAATCTATGCTCTTTTGAAGAGGTAAGGCTGCTGAAAAAACCTCAACAGACATCCAGGTGTGTTGGATACCTGGTATCCCGATGCGCATTGTAGTTACATCTTTCAGCCCCTACATCACTTGCTAGGAGAGAAGATACTTCCTCTTCATACCATTCTAGCAGTGGTGGAACAATCGCCATAGCGACCCAGGTGGCCGATATGGGGCCCGGGGCGCAGGGCGTTTGGCCAGGACATCCACCTGATGCCGTGCTCGTCACCCGGGTCGCTATGGCATCTCAGCTGCTGGCTGTCACTGGCGGCTGTGAGGAGGAACGCGCCTGTCAGTGATGTGTGCAGCGCCGCTTTGCTACTCACAGCCGCTGCTGACTCACCAACAGCCAGCAGCTGCTACAGAGGAGGCTGGGCCCAGCGTTGGCAGTAAAGGAGGAGGCGGGGCCCAACGATGGAGGAGGCAGGGCCCGTTAGCGACCATGGAGGAGGTGGACAGTGGATCAGGGCTGACAGGTAAGATGGTTTGACCAGCCCACCTGAGACCCTGCAGAGCCCACCATAGAATGTCTATGGTGGCTCTGCAGGGTGACTCTCAGGTGGGCTGTTTGGCTTATCAGGTGGGTGTAACTAGAAATTACAGGGCCCCATACAAAATTTTGCTATGGAGCCCTGTGATTTCAAGTTATGCCCCTGCATTCTAGTACAGTTTGTATATGGCTAGAAATTACAAGTCGGCTTGGAAAGTGGACAAAGCAAATTAATAACAATTCCATTACATAAGCTAAAGTTATTTGTCTGGAGCCAAGCGAAAGCAGAGTTTTCTGTTAAGAGCTGATTATTTCATAGCCTGTTGTGGGAAAACACCAACGTTCCTGCATTTCTTAGTTTCCCAGATTAAGACATTTTATCATATCTAATAGTTACAGAAATTTGAACTAATTTGATGATCAGTTCATTTCCACAATCCCAGTCAAGGTAGGCATTGCTGTTTACAAATGAAACATGACTTAAGTACATATTTAGGAAAAGAAGAGATAAAGCTATGAAAAAAATATATTAGCACAGTGGTCTTACTTACCACTCTTATACTCTGGGTGACACAAATTGAGATCACGACAGTTACGGGCAGGGTTCTTTCTTGTGCCGTCTGGACTAATAATGTTTTCTATTTGGCCGTTGATTGTTTTAAGGGAAGTCATAATTTCAGCACTGGTAGTTGTATCAAACGGTTGGTCACCATAGTAGGGGGCCCCAGCTGGTCCTTTTTCCCCACCAAATGACCCTAGATTTGCTCCACCACCATCACAGCAAGGTCCAGGTGGACCAGGGGGACCAGGCTGTCCTGGAGGTCCAGAGTGACCAGATGAACCCTGGAAAAGGTACATAAAAATGTTAACCTAATATCTGTTTTTGTGATATATTCTGCTACTAGCTGTGCATATACAGAAAGGATAGACATAGCTGATGAGAAATGAAAAGATATATGGGTAACAAAGTAAGCTAAGGTTATTCATAATTCATGAAAGCATGACCGTAATACAATGTAATTTTGAATATATAATTTTACTTAAAATCTTAAGGATTTGTGGGATTTTGATACATAAACAGCATTCTACTAAATATATATATAGTTATATAAGACTTCATTCACTAAGAAAAGTGAATTTTCACTTTGCAAAGGGAATTTCTACTTAGCTTACTGAATGAGATAAGGCTGTGCTGATTTGCAATGTGAAAGTACTCTACTCCTCTGGTAATTCCAAGTCAATGTATTCAGTAAACACAATGGCCTGTCTTTTGCTTGAGCACTTAAAGTTGTGTCTGATAGCACCTCAACACTACAAGGTATGATATGGGTCTTATTTACATTGAAAGATTACAAGCTAAACGATGAAATACAATACCTCTGGGCCAGATTCTCCTCTGCTTCCACGAGGACCTGGAGGGCCAATAGGTCCAGGATATCCAGAAATGCCATCTTTGCCTGGAGCTCCATTTGATCCCGGAGGACCCTACAACATGAATATACAGTTTAAAAGTAATTTTTGCAGAAAATTTTATATACACTATAGTTGAAGTATTCAGAACTATATACAGCTCATTATGTAACTGTATTCCATTCTCTAACTGCTTTAGCTTACAAGCAACCAATATTACAATGGGATACGTACCCTAGGGCCTAAGGGACCAGGGGATCCAGCAACACCTTGTTCTCCTGAAGGTCCCTGCAATGAAAGGTTGGATTTTTTAGATCATGTATTCACAATAAAACCTGAAGCCAGAACAGTTCTCCAAATGAGTATCTGATTATTTCCAGGGAATTTGATTGTCAGCATCATGACCTATTGTTTATTTAAACAGGTTTACTTGTTAGGCTTCATACACATGTATTTTATGAAAGGATAACTAACTTTCACTTAACTTTCAATTATGTGCATCCTGGCGTGCCACCTAAAAATGTGGGCATTTTCATTAATGTGTGCTTTCATTCATTTAAAGCCTCTCTCCCCAATAAGGGCACAGGCAGCAATAAAAACCTGCCAGAAGCTATAACCCTTCTTCATTCTATCCAAATCAAAATTAATTTAATAGTTTTGGCTAAAGTTGGTCTTTAGTATATGTATTTTTTCATTACTTCTCATTAATTTTATGAAAGAACCATATTTTTAAAGAAAAACATAAGGCTAGCAACCTCATATATAATGTTCAGGGCATTTTATTAAATTAAAAATTATATTTTTTTAATCATACATTTTAAATTTATCTACACCAATCTATTTTGTAATTGATAATGTTTGTAATAAATAATAATACCAATAAGTGCCCATTGTAGTATAATTTGTAACACTATGCCATATGTAATGAAATAATACAGTGTATTACCACATTTATTACATTATACTGTTTATATTTTCCAGTAAACCTAAGTACATTTTTAAAATAGGGCTGCAACTATCACAGTGAAGCAATACGGTATTTACTTTCTTTTTTATTTTCTACTAGTACAACACAATGGAAGCTATACTGTAGTTTAAAGTGATTCTTTCCATAGAAACTTACAGTTGAGCCAGGGGGGCCAGGGTTGCCAGGCATTCCACGATGACCTTTCATTCCATTGGTACCACGCTCACCAGCCTCACCTTTATCACCGCGTGTACCTTGTGGTCCCTAAAGAAAACATATGAATAATTACCAAGCAACTATATGCATTTGAATATTGTTATTTGGTGTAATGATGTATATTACATGAACCATTTTCTGGAAAAAGAATGGCCAGAATGTCATTATCAACTTACAGGAGCTCCACGAGCACCAGAAGGACCAGATGGGCCGGCAGGACCAGAAGGACCCTAAACAGAAATAGAAAAATGACAAATGAATATGCACTTGATTACAGTTGGAATCAAGGAAAAACAACAGAAAACATGAAAATAAAAACGGAGAGCTGTTTCACAGAATGTAATGTGACATGCCACATTTCACAGTGCTGGGTGACTGAGCCACCAACTGACAAGAATCTGTGCTGCCACATGAGGGATAGGGGAGTAAGTATATTGCTCTCTTATACCTTGAGGTACTGGTGGCTGGTAGTACTGGTGGCTGAGGAGAATGGTGGGGGAGTGAACCTGCACTGCATGCACGAAACCCATGTATACAAAAAAAAAACAGCTGTGGTGCAATTTACAGTGAATATAACATATGCTACATCTTTATACATTGTCCTTCATGTCATGTCCTGTTAATACAATGACTAAGAAATGCTATAAGCTAATGCAAATATATTGTATATTGTCAGAGTGTCATATATAACTTGATCGTTCCATCCCCATGATTCCAAGCATAGAGTGACATAAATTGCTAGATACCGGTTTTACTAAATTAAATTAATAGTATCTAGAAAAATATATTTCATAGTGAACATATTTTATAAATTAAAAATTATTACGAGGCATTCATCTAAAACTGAAATAAGACATTTTAAAATAAGCTACAGCTTACAGTTTCTCCTCTGTCTCCATTCTTTCCAGCTGAGCCAGCAGGACCTGGGGCACCTGGGTGCCCAGGAGATCCAGGAGCACCAGGAGAGCCATTTTCACCACGGTCACCCTATAAAAAAAAAGCAGGGCAAAAAATGAATACCACAAACACAAAAATACATTTATAAATCATATCTAAATGATGAAAGGAGAACTACAGAACTGATATTTACCTTAGATCCAGCTGATCCATCACGCCCAGGCAAACCATCAGAGCCAGGGTTGCCCTAAATTAAAGAAATAAAACATTGTAGCTCTTAAAGTCACTGTATTTTTCATAAATAAATGCTTTTAATATAATATAGTGTGGGTCTGCATGCCAAAATAGAATAATATTAAATGCTTAAAGGAGAACTATGGGGTCAGTGTTTTGCCCCATAGTTCTCCTTAGGGTAACGGGAGGACACAAACTAGCGTCCTCCCGTTACCCTAAGCTCAGTATACCGCAAGCTACAGCTCGCAGTATACTGAGACGCCGCAGCCGGAGCGGATCCCGACAGAATCCGCCCAGCTGCGTGAGTGACAGCTGGCTCTGCCTATCTAGAGGCAGAGCCAACTGTACCCGCCCCCTCACTCGTTCGTTCTGCCAGTCAGCACTGGCAGATCGGAGCGGGGAGAGGGGAATCCAGCCCCTCCCCCTGTCATGGCAGAGAGTCGTGACAGGATCGAGAGGTGAGCGAACCCGGTATGTGTTCGCTCACCTCCCGATCTACTGAGCCGACCTGTGACAGTCTCATTGTCACAGGTCGGCTAGAACTATGAGGTGAGTGGTAATCACTCATCTCATAGTTCTCCTTTAAGGCAAGGGTCTAAAACTCAATTCACTTGTGGACCACTGGACAAATTTTCTTCTCCCATGGGGGCCGCTTGCCAAATTTAATAAAATGTCAAGCTCTATACAGTACCCATGTTAATGTCTACTTGTGTTTATTATGTCAGTATATGTGTTTGTGATGCTTTATACGTACTGCCAGGATTTCTGTGAGTGATGTCGGTATGTGTGTTAATGTTTCTATGTGTGTCAAATCAGTATGTATACATGTGTATATGTGTGCAGTATCAGTATATCTGTCACAATATCCGGAAATCCGTGCCGGATTTACGCTTTGCTCCCTGGTTCTGGTCTGTCAGCCTATGGTGTCTCACAAGGCTGCAGCCAATCTGCTCGCCTCCTCCCCTATTTAGGACTTCCTCACTTGTTGCTCTTGGTGCGAGCAACAAGTCTTATGCCTTGTTCCGTACCCCGTGTGGCTCTAACTATCCCTGGAATCTTATTTCATGCGCTTGCTATTGGATCCTTGTGCCTTTGGCTTCCCTGTACCAGCTGGTATCCCTGTTTGACGTTATCCCCTGCTTTGCTCCTTGCGCCCCTACTATAGTATTTCAGTGGTTAACCTTTAGAATATTGCTGCAGATCTTAATTGCTTTCACCTGTGTGCGGTGAGTCTCTCTTTTCTACCTTCATTGCCTCACTTCTTCTGTGTTTTCCCTCTGCAGCCTTTGTGTGTTGCTTCCTCCTATTTACTTGCCTTGTTGTACTTCAACTCCATCACTTGCCTTCCAGTGTATCTTCCTTCCATCCTTCCTTTTGCTGTCACCCTTTTACTTCTGTGCTACTCTCTTACCTTGTGGCTGTGTTGAATTAGTCCTTGTCTGCACACCCCCTTTGTGCTTCTTTAAGTACTTTTTCCTCTGTTATCCTGCTTCTTTGTATGCATCTGCAACGCACATCTGCTTACTTTTGTAAGTTACACCTTCCTGCTCCTAGGTGTGCCTCTAAGCTACTTACCATTCCCTAGTGTCCTTGTTTAGATACCCTCTTCAGTATGCTCTGCTGTTCTGCTGTGTGTTTTGCGCCTTTTGCTTGTGACTTTCTCTTTCTCTCATTGTGTGCCACTGTTCCTATCTTCCTCCTCTTGGTTACAAGTTTCTTCCCTACCTGTTTGTATCCAGTTCCCCTGATGCTTCAACTAGTCCTTTTGTGTCTGTGTGGGTGTGCTAGAGAGCCGCAACCTGTAAGGTGTCCAGCAGCCAATCATCCTCACCATTAGAGGCTCTGTCGAATACCTGGCCCTTCTTAGATTCTGCGCCTCTAGTGCGTCCGGAGAACACACAGATCCTTAGTCCCTCTCTTCCTGTGACCTACATCCCAGATATCACTCCTGCCTGTGACTCCTACCAACTCCGCAAACCCCGGAGCTCACGTACCCTAGTGCCCTGGTCCCTAGGCCGTGACAAATGTGTGTGTCATATCAGTATGTATACATGTGTATACTGTATGTGTGCAGTGTCAGTATATGTGTGTGTGTGTGTCATATCAGTATTGATACATGTGTATATATGTGCAGTGTAAGTATGTGTTTTTTTTCCTACAGGTTTTCATTTTAATCATAGAGGACCAACAGATTCACACATTCACTAACACACAGAAATACACAAACAGAGAAACACACACACAGACATGCAAACACATACAAATACACACACAGAAATACACACACACCCCAACCAGAAATGCACACACGTACAAATACACACATTGGCAGAAATATACACTAATACACACACAAGGCTCCATTCACACCTGTTTAGAGATTCCTGCATCAGGAACTTGCATTTACTGCAGCAGGAATCCCAAAAGTAATGATCTGGTGACAGCCGCTGCATGTAAACACTGGCACACCGCATGTAATGGTATGTGATATGGTTACATGAGGTTAGGAATCAATCGATGATGCATCCAGGGATAGTGATTGGTTTCTGACTACCTGTAATCATATCACATGCAGTGTGCCGGCATTTATATGCAGCGGCTGTCATCTGAACATTAACTTGAACAGGTAACAGCTACCACTTGTAAACAACAGATTTAGGATTCTAATACAGGAATCCCTAAGCGCACCTAAACACCCCCCACAAACACACACACACACAGAAATACACACATACACATATACACAATAATGCAACCCCCTACATACAGAAATACACACAGAATACCCATGGAAATACACACATACACACAATAATGCAACCCCCCCACACACACACACAGAAAAATACACATATGCACTCCTTTTATATGTTCTGGTGTTTCATCTGCTAATTCATCTGCTTCTATAATTTATCAACAGGCATTTCTCGACTGCCGTATATGGAAACACTGATGGTAAATCCATATTCATGATGGTATCATAGGGAAATGTAAAGCCTTATCATGTACAATGAACTTTTGCACAAGCCTTTTGCTTTCCTTCATTGGCAAAGCAATAGTAAATTCACTTACATCTCTTCCAGCTTCTCCTGGAGCCCCATTAATACCGGCTGCCCCTGCTGAACCAGGGAAACCACGTTCACCAGGTGATCCATTGCTACCTGATTTTCCATCTTCACCCTATAAAAGGAGAACAATGAAGAATATTTCAAATGTAAAAGTATTTTCTGTGCTATGACTGGTTGTATTTTTTTAAACTATTTTTCCACACTTTTTCCACAGTATGGTAAAGATATGCTTAATAAGCCATACCTTAGCGCCTGGAAGACCTGGAGTGCCTGGTCTACCCTGTAAGCCAGGTAATCCTACAATACCACGAGTGCCAGCTGGACCATTAATGCCTGAAGGACCTGGAGCACCCTGTTAAATATATGTGCATAATTAGAATACAATTCAGAATACAGTTTGATATTGATATGCAAACAAATGTAATTTATTGTTTTTTATCTTAATATATTATGTCCATACTGAATAGAGTGATATTAATTATTTGGCAGTGGTTACTTACAAGAACAAACAAACAAATAAATACAAAAAAAGAAATATTTAGACAAAAAAGGGTATAAATTACATTATTAAAAAAATGTCACACTAAATAGGTTTCTTTTTTTTTTTTTAAAAAAGCAACTCAAGAATGCTTACTGATTCTCCTCGATTTCCTGGTGATCCCCTTTCTCCTTGTGTGCCTGGTTCACCCTTTGGACCTGAAGAACCTGGACTACCGGGAGGACCAGTACTGCCAGCTGGACCAGGTGGACCATCCTTTCCGGGGCCTCCGGGAGGACCAGAAGGACCAGAATTGCCCTGAATTTTAGCAAACACTAATTAATGGTTGAAAAATAAATCATTGTGAAGGGCGTGATTTCTAAAATAGATATCTGCAATTAACTATCACTTTTCTCATTTGTTTAAATGGTTAAAATCAATAAAAACAAAATACAAATATATATTACTGAGAAAATTAAAATATAATAGAATAATACTGATGTAAGTGTGGTATAAGCTAACCACTTTAAAATGGCAACAAATGCCATGGTAGTATGCATGCCCCGATGACCACTAAACCATGCCATGCCTGTGTACTACTGTCTTATATCTGAGATAATATTTATTTTTATTAGCCAAAGTGTGCCTATTCCAGAGAGTGATTTAAGGGGTTGAGGCAGGGGTTGAGGCAGGGGTTGGGTCAGTGTTAGTGGGTTGTGGAAGGATGTCTGTAAGCAATTATTATTATACAGGATTTATATGGCGCCAACAGTCTGCAACAGTCTAAAAGGGAGGGGCAAGTGATACATCAGGAGGTAGCTATGTGGGGATGAATTGTCTGAGAATGTGATGGTTCAGCGATTAGGTTGAGGCAGGATAGGCTTCCCTGAAGAGATGAGTCTTAAGGGATCACCTGAAGGCAGTCAGAGTGGGAGACAGATGGACAGGTTGGGGTAGAGAGTTCCATAGGATGGGAGAGACTCTAGTGAAGTCCTGGAGACGAGCATGGGAGGAGTTGACGAGGGAGCTGTAAAGCAGAAGGTCTTTTGAAGAGCGGAGGGGACGGTTAGGGTGATACTTTGAGACAAGGTTTGAGATATAGCCGGGGGCAGAGTTTTGGATGGCTTTGTAAGTCATTGTTAATATTTTGAATTTTATCCTTTGGGCTATTGGAAGCCAGTGCAGGGATTGGCAGAGGGGGTTTGCAGACACTGAGCGGTTAGTCAGGTGAATGAGTCTAGCAGCTGCATTAATGATAGACTGAAGGGTGGGGGTCCAAGGACAGAGCCTTGGGGGACCCCTACAGAAACGAGAAGAGGAGGGGAGGAGTTAGATTTGTAGGTGACACTAAAGGAGCGCTTAGATAGGTAGGAGGAGAACCATGAGAGAGCAGAGTCTTGTAGGCCAAGCAAGTAGAGTTTTTTGAGGAGGAGCAGGTGGTCAACAGTGTCAAAAGCAGCTGAAAGGTCTAATAGCAAGATAAGGAGTAGTTACCATTGTTTTTAGCTGTGAGTAAGTCATTAGTGAGTGTGAGAAGGGTGGTTTCCGTGGAGTATAGGGGGCGAAAGCCGGATTGTAGGGGGTCGAGAAGGTTGTTATCAGCGAGGTGCCGGCTCAGGCGGCTGTAGATAAGGCGGAATATGTGCATTGTAAGGCAGGAGGGAAAGGAGGTATCTTGATGGTGCCCAGGCTCTAGCAAAGCAGAGTCCAGAGAAGGGTTCAGCACCATGCACAGCAACAGCAACTACAGCTGTCAAGAACTGGCTACAGAGTGCAGGAATCAGTCAATGTTTAGTGCTACAAGCCAAGTCCAAATAACAGGTCAAGCTGTACTTCATGGCTACAGGGCTCCCTGGCTGATTGATCTCTCCTGCTGGCTGCAGAGATTGACAATTGACTGATATTCAGTGCTCTGGTAGAAAAATGTGAGGCCAAGGGATCTCTGTTCCGGACTGCAGAGGTTGGGTACCAGCTGACGTTTGGTGCTGGCTGGAGGGCACAGGGTCAAACCACTGTCACTTTGACTGGTCCCTGTCCTGGCTAGGAAACTCCACTATTCATCTTCAGCAGGACTGCTAGAGGGGTGGGAAATAAACCTGGTCAGAAGCCAATCAGCAGCTATGAAAGTTGCAACTACTGGGCTGAAGGTTTCATCTCTGTGCTGGATGTACTTCATGACCCAGAGGCAACTGAATTTACCCGCATAGCAGGATTTTACAGGAAGTGTCAGCAGATCGATGTGATGCACAGTACACTTCTCGTGTACATCCACAGTTGAATGCTCACATTGCTATTGCTATGGAACCCTTTCACTTGTGCATATCTAGCCTGAACACTTGTGGCTCTTGGCTGCTATAGAGCAACGGAAAGTCACAAAATCCAGTGTGCACTCTTTCTTTCTCAGCTTTTGCCCAAGAGGCAAGAGAGAGCGCAGTAGACATGTACATTTTGTTTCGTTCCGAATAGATTTTCATGCAAATTTTTTTAAATTCAGACATTTGGATGCATCCAAATTACCGAATTCAAATGCATCCGAATGCAAACTAATTCAAATGTTCCTTTAACGAAAATTCGCATCTGTCCGAATTTAATTCAAAACTAAACTACATCGGACCTGTTATTGTTCTTTGGCCAATCAAATGTTTTTTGGGCTATTGGGGGTTGCAATATAGGCACGGTCATTTGACCTACAGTTGTGGATCTTTCAGAAACGACAATTCTAACAGATACAAAATCTGTATTTCGGATACGAAATCCAAACAACTAAAGAAATTAAAATCAGAATCAATCCGAAACATAACTAAACACATTTTTTGTGGGGTTACATGTCTAGAGGGCAGTGCTAGCTTCCTGCTGTTATATATAAATATATTATATATATATATATACTGTAATACTTACATTACTACCTGGAGGTCCAGGTAAACCACGAGCACCAGGGAAACCAGCTGCACCCTGTAAGACAACAAAATGTTATGCCACTTCTGAAAATGTTAAGGTTACTATATCTCTATATTTTTGAGATAACTCTTAATGTATTTACAATATGAATAAGTTCCATAATATACCAAGTTATGCATTTTAAGTTCTCTACTCTTGTGGGCTTAGCAAATGTGACATTGTACTAGCACAAAATGTTTAATCTGTTAGTGTATAATCTAGAAAGTTACAATAAATCTCTCAGAACACATCACAAAATTTGTGGAGGATTCTGGTCATTTAAAATAGGAAATTACCCAGGCCTGTTCAGGAAACTTCATTCATTCTAAAACAGAATTTTAATATCAAATGAAATTTTGAACAACATTGGTCAAGACTCAGATGCCATTATTAAATGTTCTGAAGAGTTTTTTCATATGAAAGTTTCTGTGAAAATCTATCAGTGTGTAACCGGCTTAAGTAACAGTAGTTACTGTCACTGTGACACATAAATATTTCGTAAAATTACTTTCATGGTGATTGTATAGGTTATTCCTCTTCATTGGTGGTCAGAAGGTAGAACATCAAGGAGTCCCTTAATTTGAAAATCTGCCTGCCTCATGACCCTTGAGGGTGGTTTACTTTTTATAAGCAGCTTAGCAGTGCATTGACTATACTAGTAGGAGAACTATAAGCTTTATACAAAAAAAGTGACAGTTGCATAAATATTTGGTTAGTCACATTATATATAGGGATACAATGGTACCTCGGTTCACAAACTTAATTGGTTCCACGATTCTGGTCGCGAACCGAAATGGTCGCGAACCGAATCACATTTTCCCATAGGGTTTAATGTAAATCAGGTTAATCCGTTCTGACCCCTACGAACGTGGTTGCAAACTGATTTTTTGGTTGCGAACCAAATTACATTTTCCCATAGGGTTCAATGTAAATCAGATTAATCCGTTCTGAACCATATATGGGGAAAAAAAAATTAACCACAAAAATATGAAACAAATCACAGTACAGTATGAAGAGAGTGAACACTGGCATAGAGGGCGGAAAGGTGAGTGGGGAGGAAGTTATTATTTGGAGGGAGAGTTCACCTGCATAAGGACCTTGGGGAGATCTCCTTCAGGGGTTTCCTCTCTTCTTTGTCTGTTAGCTGCAGGGTCAATTTTGGTGAAAAATCGGTCTAATGTCACTTGTTTTTTCCTGCGCTGCATAACCCTCCAGAAATGAGAGACCACGTTATTGTTCATCAGATTCAACACTCTGTTCGTCACAGTTATGTTGGGGTGGTGCTTCTCAAAGAAATCCTGGCACTCTTCCATTTTTCCATTACGAATGTTATCACATCACTGCTAACCTCCTCCCTTTCTTCCTTTTCCTCTGTGGAATGCTCCTCAACTCACTCTGGAGTTCAGCAAGTTCTTGCGTCGTCAGCTCCTCCTTATGGTTCTCAACAAGCTCCTCTGTGTCTGCACCATCAACGTCCAGACCCATACTCTTGCCCATGGACACAATATCCTCCACTACCTGTGCATCAGACTCTTCCGTGTCACGTTCAGTGACACATTCTGGCCACAGTTTCCTCCAGGCTGAGTTCAAGGTCCGGCTACGTGACATCTTCCCATGCTTTGTCAATGAGGTTGATGCAGTGGAGGACATTGAAATGTTTCTTCCAGAACTCTTTCCGAGTCAAAGATGTCTCTTCAGTGACATTAAAACACCTGGTGAAGAGCGCCTTTGTGTACAGCCTCTTGAAGTTGCAGATCACTTGCTGGTCCATAGGCTGCAGAAGAGGTGTTGTGTTGGGGGGGAAGAACTTGACCTTTATGAAGTCATACTCAGCATCCATATCATCCACCAAGGCTGAAGGGTGTGCCGGGGCGTTGTCCAGAAAAAGGCATCTTTTAGGCAGTTGGTTGTCAGAAAGATATTTTTTAACTGTGGGTGCGAACACCTCGTGGAGACATTCCATGAACAATTGCCTTGTGACCCAAGCTTTCGCATTGGTCCTCCACATGACAGGCAGTCTGGCCTTGTTCACATTCTGTTCCTTGAATGCACAAGGGGTCTGGGAATGGTACACCAGTAGTGGTTTAATCTTCAGATCAGCGCTTGCGTTCGCACACAGCAAAAGGGTCAATATGTCCTTCATGGGCTTGAGCCCCGGCAGTGTCTTTTCCTCCTGCGTGATATAGGTTCTGTTCGGCAGCTTCTTCCAAATGAGCCCTGTTTCATCGCAGTTGAACACTTGTTGAGCAACGTATCGTTCTGCCTTCATGAATTCAGCAAAGTCTTTCTTGTAGGCTTCTGCAGCGGTCTTGTCAGAACTGGAAGCCTCACCATGTCTTATCACACTGTGGATGCCACTTCTCTTGCGGAATTTTTCAAACCACCCTCTACTGGCTTTAAATTCATCATTAAATGCACTTGTAGAGGGGTCTTGCTGCAGAAAATCACTGTGCAATTTCCTGACTTTTTCACAGATCATAGCTTCACTTACACTATCACCTGCCAGCTGTTTCTCATTCAACCACACTAACAGAAGTTTTTCCACCTCTTCCAGTAGTTGTGTCCTCTGCTTTGCTAACATGGTTACTCCTTTTGCCACATCTGCTTTGATGGCATCTTTATTCTTCAAAATAGTCGAGATGGTTGACTTTGCCATCTTGTACTCCGAGGCCAGATCAGTCACACGAATACCACGATCATGCTTTTCTATAATTTCCTTCTTCAATTCAATAGTTATTTTCTTTGAAACCTTCTTGTTACAATTCTTGCTCTGCACTTTCTTGTTACCCTCATTATTCCGCTGCACTTTCTTTTTACCACCATTCTTGCTCTGCACATCCTTGTCACCTTCAATAATGCTCTGCACATCCTTGTCACCTTCAAAAACGCTCTGCACATCCTTGCCACCTTTAATAACGCTCAGCACATTCTTGTAACCTTCAATAACGATCTGCACATCCTTGTCACCTTCATTAACGCTCTGCACGTTCTTGTCACCTTCAATAATGCTCAGCACATTCTTGTAACCTTCAATAACGATCTGCACATCCTTGTCACCTTCATTAACGCTCTGCACGTTCTTGTCACCTTCAATAAAGCTCTGCACATTCTTGTCACCTCTCTGCACTTTCTTTTTCCCACCACGCTTGCTCTGCACTTTCTTGGGAGCCATGCTGGATTGAATACAGTAATACAGTAATACTGTACAGTACTGTGCTACAAAGCACACAAAAAAGCTTCACAGTAAGTGTCCACAGCCCTGTCTGCGACCGCAATCTCAGGTACAGGAAGCTTTGACTATGTGTCAGAGCAGGAAAGAGGGCCGCAGTCATGTTTGTCACCCGAGGCAGTGTTCGCAAACGGAGGCAAAATTTTGACGAACTTCCTGGTCGCGAAACCGAATTGTTCGTGAACACAGGCGTTCGTGAACCGAGGTACCACTGTATTAAAATAGTTACATTTATAGTGCACTACTTACAAGTGATCCTGGAGCACCACGGTCTCCTTTTGATCCCTGAGGACCAGAATTGCCCTGTAAAAAAAAGGAAAAAAAAATCAGCCACCTTATCTTGGACACATATTCTAACAGAGAAACAAATTATCAATAGTACAGCAAATAGGTACTTACAGCAGGACCAGGGCCACCTGGAGAACCACCTGCACCTTGAGGACCAGGTTCACCTCGTTCACCAGGACCACCTTTTTCTCCTTTACCACCAGGTTCACCATTTTGACCCTGCATACATTCAAAATGATTAAGTTAGCGTAAAGCTAAATCAAGCCAGAATTACATTGATTACATGACATGAGACAGGTAACTCTTTATGTACTTACAGGAGATCCAGGGAAGCCAGCAGGACCATGAGGACCAGGTTCACCACGCTCCCCCTATAATTAGATAAATAATAAAGCATTTACTAAAACCGACAAAATATAGACCAACTCTTAAAAAGTCCTCTAGGATATGCATTTGTTCCATAACATGCATATCTGAGGGTTCATATATACAAAATATTAATCCTCAGGTATACATATTTCACAGCTAAATGCAAGAACATTATTTTCTATGGACATGCTACAGAAAAAGCTAGATCTTTCATATAGAAAAAGTAATTTCAGCATTTCTCTTTCAATTGATCTGGCACCCAAACTAACAAGCTTAAGGCAAAGGTTTTTGCATCAGGAAATTGTAGAGCTGCAAAAAATGTATATTAATATTGAAGGAGGGGGTAGAAAAAATAGGTCCACACCAGCTTAACAGCAGGTCACAATATTTACGGGGAAACAGGAACATCTCAAGCAACATACTAATTGTCAAGATATCACAAAGGCCAAGTCTTAAAGTGCTTTTGTAAGACCCACAAATGTGCAGAATGGAAGAAGCAAGGGTGATACAGAAAAATAAGACTTTTCTGGCTGTATGTTTGTTCCAGGCCAGTTATAGATAGGCTACATGTTCGGTGTATTAAGTTATTCGATCAATATATGGAGTCTCGTGTATTAACTTATTTTAAATGTTATTTCATATTCATTATCAGCAACTTGCATGAATACATTAGTTTTGAAGTAAACATGTGCCAAAAGTATTGTTGGGGAAGGGGGTGGAAGAATAATTGGTTGGGGGTAAATGTTGGAAGTGTATTTAGGTTTTTAAGTTAATCTGAGGGATAACATAATGAAAGGGCATCCTCATCAAAGATTGGTAGCAGCTCCTTCCCTCTAATGGATTCCATTCACACTGAGAAGGGTTGCAATAGGTAAAATGGAGCCAACCCATATACATTGTCTGTACTGGCATAGCAACAGACAGCATCTGCTTACAAATTCATCTTCCCTTGTGAAGTGAAAGGCGGGTACACAGCTTTGGCACTATTCCCCTGGTTTACTACAGAAATGTGAAAGTTGTAGCTGGGACCACTGAACATCCACTGGGCTCTAGGCCCCTACCTAAGTTGCTTTGTGGATTATCTGTCTTGAGTTTAAATAACTTATTGTATCTTCATACCAGTCACCTGCAATTACATCTTCACATCTATAGCAGGCTTAGGCTGGGAGGGGTAGCAGAAGCATTCAGAATCAGATATGTACTTGTCAGTGAACTTGCTGGCAGGAGGAAAACTTTTCTTTAAAAAATTTGCCATGAGTCATTATACTTTCCTCTTTCAAGCACTAGCTCTGAGCTTTGGAGATAGAATTTGAAGTACTTACAGGGCCACCACGTGCACCAACAGGCCCAGGAGGTCCAGCTGAGCCACCTTCACCCTGTAAAACCAAATAAATGAAACAGAAAGTTTAGTCAAGAGAAATATATTCCGTATGTATGTACACAGGGTAATAAAAAAATTGTTTGTAAACCCGGACAATTAACTTTTCATGTTCAGTCTATTAAGCATACCATTAAAATTAACATTGATTTAGTTATACGGAGAAGTGTAATGATAAGTGTAAAAAATCTTGTGAGCTTTCGACCTGTGCTGCACTCTTATCAGCTATCATTGTTCTCAGTTCTCACTGTGTTATAGAGAAGATAGGGGTGTCTTATGGTAACAATACTGTCCCTCAATAGATGCAGTATGGTAAGTGAGTGTTGTCACCCAAGGACAGAAAGTGTGCTATTGCCAGGATCACCAAGTGGAAATGAAAGAAAAAACATATTTAAAAAGAAAACTAACGCAGCCAACACATCTAGGGGCTGGTAAGCTGCAGTATATTACTTTTTTGTTTTTGGGCTTTGATGCACTTTAACCAGTTGACATCCGCGGTGTTAAACCCCCCTTCCCATCCAGGCCATTTTTCAGTATTCAGCGCTGCGGTACTTTGACTGACATTTATTCCGTCATTCAATGCTGTACTGAAATTAATTTTATACCCTTTTTTGGGGACAGATAGAGCTTTCTTTTGGTGGTATTTATTCACCACTGGGGTTTTTATTTTTTTACTATGTTAAGGAAAAATTACCGAAATTGAAAAAAAACAGTTTCCCCTATATTAAATGATAAAACATTTATTATTACCCAATTTTTTGGTAAAATATAAAAGACGGGGTCACGTCAGATAAAAAGACACCAAACATGTCAAGCCTTAAAATTGCGTGCGCGCGCGAAACCTCAAAAAACGATAATACCCAAAATTGGCCATAGGCGACACTTTAAAAGCTGTTACCGCTCATCAGTTTAGTGTTATCAGTGATTGATGGCCCTAAAATGATTGCTCTCACTGCGATGTTCGCGGCGATATGTAACATGTGTAGCGCAATTGTAATTTTTGCGCGCTGGGGCACCGGACGCGTATTTACGTTTATAGGCGCGTAAACGTGGGGGTGGGGGAGTTAAACATTTTGGGG